CCACTTTGAGCCGTGACGAATGCTGTGACGTTCTATGTGACGTGGAACGAGGTGTCACGTGACTGTTTTTCTCCGGTTTTCGGAGGAAGGCGAAGGAATGGTCGGAGAGACCGTCCGAAAGGAACTGGATGGATTGAAATGGCTGCAAAGTGGCATGGATTGGATTGAAATGAAAGGGCTTCGCCACTTTTCGGCATCCGAGCACTTAGACAACATGGGGTTTTCCACTGTCACGGTTCTTCGTCTCGCCTGTGCAGCGGCGGTTCAGCGCGTCGCTGAGCACTTGCCACAGCCGCCGCCGGTCGGCGACCGTGACGCCGTGCTGCAGCTCGATGGCTTTTGCCGCGAGCTGTGGATGTTCGGTCATAAAGGCGAGCACCAGTGCGCACTGACCCTCGGAAACGCGGCTGAGCCACTGCTGCTGGTGGCTAGCGGTGCCGTTGCCCTCCGCCGTGACTGCGCTCGACTGAGCCAACGGCTTCGAAGATTGCGCCACAGAACACCTACCAGTTTGGTTGCACCATTTGGTGGTGGAGATATGACAACAGTAACTGCTTTAAACTGGGTTGTACCTAGTGCCACCACTAACCATACCGCTACATTTAGCATTGTTTCAAAACAATAACAGTAAAAATATGTTTGGATTGTGCCGTACTGCTTCTTGAACGTTTAAAAACTAGTGCCAACACATTTTAATAGTGATCAATAATAGTTAAATACTTCTCAACATATTACTAACACTTTTTACTTTGCTCTACGGTCCCCAAGTCGGCGTCAAAATGATGACGCAGGCCTTCTTTTACCTCATTGGCTGTTTGCTTACCCTAGTCCTCGCGACCACTGCGGACTGCCCACTTTTTGACGTCACCGACAAAACGCCTCCGTCCGGATTTGGAATTTGTATATAATTGCACCACAGATGAAAGTCTCCTGACACCGGGTGACAGAGCCAGCCCAGTGTGTCGGGTATAATAGTTTCACAACATATGACTATGCACAAGCTTTGCTGTCTAACAGGATAAGCATGAAGATATACAGCAGCTCTTAAATCTATGAACGCAGGTTCATGGATCTTAGGTGCATCTCCTGGGGGGGCAAGGGAGGCACTGGCCCCCCAGCCCTGGGAATAGCAAGGGGGACCATCAACTGTAGGCTTTTTGCGTTGCTGGCTGCTTAAGCAATGCTTTTGCACTCGAACATAGCAGAGAAAGCTACTGCTCAGCAGGGGCTCTAGAATGTTAGACCACTCTGTCAAGCCTTTGCTAGGGTTTGCTTGACCTGAAATTTGCATCACAGGTGACGCAGGTGCAGGCGGGAACCAAATAGAATACGCTTTAATGACCAATCGCGAAATGTTCCTGCCTTAAAAAAAATCATTATCTTTCTTAGAAAAAGAATTGAGTTGTGGCTGCTATCTGTCTTGGCCGCTATGAGTGAACAAGGGCACAAAAGTGTTTTTGAAAGGGCCTGATTTGGGAGAACTAAGAATTGATTGTACTTTACTCTCCAATTTACCAGCCACGTCGAACTTATATTATGACAGGTTGAAACAATCGTGGTGGCTTGCAACAATGCGATAGATAAGGCAGTCGACTCGAGCACAGGGGGAAGCCCAGCTTTGAGGCTTGCCCTGCGACTTGATCGACCTTAGCAGGAAGATAATCCACCATTTTCTGGACTAAGATGACTGCCCACCTGCAAAGGGTCTACTCTGTTTGTAATCATGCTTATTTCTCCATATCCACAAATCGTTCACAGAGAGGTGTACATGCACAAAAACGGCTCAACATGGTTATATTACAACTGAAAATACTTATTAACGGCACATGAATTCATGCCGCCAACTGCAATAAAAGCCGCCGCCAGACTGATCGCTGGGAATCCTTCTTGAATTACGCTCCGAAAGAGACAATGTCTGTCCCTGCGCCTTTCATTCGTTCACTCCACCTCTTTCTTCATAACAACCTCGTCGCTCACTCCCCAGCAGTGCACCCAGCGCGCCTTCTTTCAGACGCGCACTCGCTACCGCGATTGTGACAAAGATTTTGCAGCAACCGCATTATAGCCAGTCTCTCCTCTTGAAGAACTACGGTACACAATAAGTGGTATTGCATATATATATATATATATATATATTATATATATATATATATATATATATATATATATATATATATATATATACACACACACACACACACACACACACATGGGGTTCTATGGGAGGCTGAATGGGAGCCAAAAAAACCACATTGTAACCGGTTCTGCACTTTAAGTGGTTACATTATAAGTTGTCTACACTGTATACAGTGAGAGCAAACGGTGATGCCGAAAAAACTTCACCACAGTAATGCACTGTTTATTGTGCACACGTAATTCTAACACAACCCTTTTTCCCAGGTTTGTGACATTGCGTATCGAGCAGGTGATTTTACGAAACACAAACTTTTTTCGCCATTATGGAAGAATCATCTGAGTGAGGCGGTGCGCAAAAGAAGAATAACAAACGGGAAAGTAACGCGGACAAGGTGCAAACTATCAACTCAGAATTTATGGAAAAAATTAACATGTGTGTGTTCAAGTGAATACGTGCTAGAAAGATATGATCAAACAAAGATCAGTTTAAGGGCACTTCTGAGAAGTCCAAATTCGTGACAAGTAACGTAACCGAGGGCTTTGCTACACAAGAATTACTTGCTTCATGAATGGGATACACTTCTGCAATTTCACGCGCTACCCTATACTTTATCCGGGAATACAATGCCGTGTCAGCAGTTAAGCAAGTGCGAATCAGAGAGAGAAATGAAAGAAGTGAGAAAAAAATTAGAGAGCTGGAAAGAGCAATCGAGGCGAAGATATAAAGAAAAAGAACAGAAAAAAATGGAAATACCGAAAAACAAAGACAGGACGAAAGATACAAAGAAGGCTGCCCAAGTCCGCATTTTCCTCAGGCTTGGCATCAGCATGCCTGCAATGTTGATTTTTTTTTTCCTTGTTGCAGCATAGGGACACTGCAAAAGCCACAATTTTCATAATTTCCAACTTTGTTCACAATGTGAACGCTTCTCAAGACCGGTGTGTTTCAATCTGAAGTGTCCTTTGCTTCAATACCTTGTTACGTACCAACAATGCGATTGTGGGTGGTGACCACGGCTTTCTGAAAGTTCGCACAGATTTCAGCTGTCGGTGAATGTCGTTTTCCTACCTTTGCATTGCACATTTGCATGCTTCACGCTTGGTGCGCTCCGAGGAATAACTAAATTAACTGGGTTGCGTCCAAATTTCACCCAATAAGTGAGAGTTATGGTGCCATAAACAAATATATACACTGGCCAGGCCAGATATTTATCCAATTTTCCGAACTAACGTACGTTGAATTAAGAAGCTTTTGCTGTACTAGCAGACTCTTACAGCTAAAAATTAGCACATGGTTTATCTTCAAGATTTCTTCAAAATACTTATTCAGCTACATAATTTGTTTGGAAAGCAAAAACTTAAGGCTTTAAGGCAATTGTGATGTAAGACATATTCCGTAGTCATCCTACTTACAATGTTGAACTCAGATTCTAGTTTGCAAATGGAATGGCAAGTCTAAAAAGGGCCTAAATGTGGCAAGCCACAGGAAAGGGTTCAGCTAACTTTTCTCGTTATAATTGGCATAGGGGGAATCAAAGCAATGACAACAACACTAAATTTACAATTCATGTAAATGATACCAGCTTATCTTTTGTGAAAAAAATTAAATACAAACTTGACAACAAGAGCTAATACGACCCAAATTGGTATAATTTCTGTGACAGAAGACTATATAAATATTACCATGCCAAAACTCGGGTGGTTTGTGTCGTCGTGAATTGAATTGTGTAGTGCCAAATAGTACTCGGATGGCAAACACACATACAGCAGAAACTACCAACTAAGGGTTTAGTGAGCACGGTAATAACGTGCACTCACATGTGTTCCCTATTATGTAGTCTACCCGATCCCTCTGGTATGTGGCGATATATATATCAGACAAACTGGAAGGCACTCGAATGTGGCATTACGAAATCCCCACGAAAAACGGGAACGTAATGACCGATCATCAAACAGAAAAATGGCAGCGCACAACACAAAGCATCATTACAAGCTACTGTTTTATAAATCTTTCGATAATACAATTTTATGAAGTCATTGCTCAACTCTTTTGAACGATGTTTTCACGAACAACTTCCCGAACTACAGATATTACTCTACCGACGAAGTGAGGACAAGGTTCGCATTCCTCAACTCGATTGTTCAATCGTGAGTATGTATGTATGTATGTATGTATGTGTGTATGTATGTGTGTATGTATGTATATATATATATATATATATATATATATATATATATATATATATATACACGCACACACGTACACACACATAGACAGAGGAAGAAAACTTTGTCCCCCCCACCCCAACTCGCGAAGAAGTTGGTACGCCACTGTCGTGGGCACAAACAAACAGAGGCAGGCATTACTACAGAAGTATGCAGTGAAATGTGTCCTGTAATGACGACACTCAAGGACTGAAGAGACTCCCAATATGCTCAATATGACGTTAGTGACAAAACCCAAATTAATTACTGCCACTTTCACCTAAACGTAGCCTGAACACAAACCTTTTTCGTGGTTGCTCTCAAGCTTTCTTTTACCAGCAAGTGGCGCATGTAGCCATTGGCACAAATGGTTCACCTGTAACACCCCCTAGCTGGTCTCAGCAAGAGACTGTGCAGAAATTATCTGCTGTGTTCACAAAAAAATCTGATTTCAAATGGCAATTACCAACCACTATCCAATAAAAAAAAGTGCAAGAAATATTTACTAGTGTGAATTCAGCTCACCAGCAACAGCTGGTATGAGAGTATAGCAGTCAGGTGTGCTGCAGATATGCAACTTTACGATATACTACTCTGAACTGCCAATCACCAATAATTTACACAATAAAAACCAAATGGCATTACTGTACAGTACACACCTGTTTGGCACTGCTGGCATCCTTCAAATATCCTTCAGCCTTGAGCACTTCCTCATCACAAGTGACATCTTCTGAAGATGAAGCTTGCGCCGTCCTGATTACATCTTGGAGGTGAAGCATCCAACGATCCACCATCTGTGATGTAAGGGCCACCCAACAAAAAGGGAAGCAAGATGGAGCATGAGAACAAAAATGAAGTCAAACGCTCAGTTCTGCAAATACAGCATAAAAAAATTTTCCACTGTCACCTGTTGTGTTGAACTCAACAGGAATCCTTGCTGCAGTCTGAATGCCTGGCTATTGCTGTGCTTTTTAGGCGAGACATTACGGTGCAGAAGTTCAGATATCTATAAAGAACAAAAAAAATTTAGAGACAAGACGGTAAGACCAAAGCACAAGAGTATAATAAATGCAGGTTTTTAACTATTACATGCTAAAATAGGAAGTATCACATCCAGCAGTCTACACATGTTACTTGACAGAAAAAAAAGTTTTTTTTAGTCTATAGCCTAGGGCAATAAAATTTTTGCTTTATACATAGGTTTTTATGCTGATTTCAAATATGTAAACAACTTCATGATATGATGCATACTTTTCATTTTGTACCATGACTACATAAAATAGAACACTTCTCCGACACACTAAAGTTTTATTGTTATGAACCATTATTGGCTCATATTGTTTTGGTTTAACTGCAGAATGCAAATAACTAACAAGTAGAAGTGTGCAATGTGCAAACATTCAAAATTTTGAATACATTTTGAATAGTGTTTGCTATTCTATTCGATTTCTACTGAAATTTTACTATTCAAACTATTTGAACTTCCTAACAAAAATACAGTCAACATCCAATTGAAAGTGACCCCTTCAGATTTTCAGTATGCTTGATCTTATCACTAGTATATTGCAGCAAAGCTACGTTTCGAAGTCCGTTATGGTCTAACCTCCCTAAGATTACAGTTGTCAAACTCAAAGTGGCTTCTTCAAATTTATAATATGCTTTACTATAGCAAAACAACAAAGCTGCTTTTCAGGCTCCGTTGCAGTCAAACTTGGTTAACGTCCGATTGACAATGGCTCCTTCAGATTTTTAACATGCTTTACGCCATCACACCTTCGTATTGAAACAAAGATGCCTTTAGAGCTCCGCTATGGTCCTAAATGTAGTGCAAAAGTGACTGGAAAAAACATTGATTCCAACATGAAAGATATAAGATGTGGCAGAAGCGGGGGCCCAATTAATGCTGTTTTGGACCTGAAATTCTAGCAGGAAATCTAAAAAACCGAAGGCTGCAGATTTTTTGGCATCCAAAATTTTAGATGTGGTTATTATCGACGTTTATGAGGCAGATTTGGAACTTGAATTCAAGCTTGAATTCACCAATTATACTCAACCGGCTATCACCACTGGTTAAAAAGTTAATTGTGCTATTTTTAAAAATTACTGCTGTAATTATTGTTTGTATGCATCTGAAGATGCCTTCTGCCAGGAAAGGCAACGTCGCAAGTAGCACGTAGATACCTCCTTTCTGTGATTTTTTAAAGAATATTGGACACATTTCTTGATTGATTGATATGTGGGGTTTAACGTCCCAAAACCACTATATGATTATGAGAGACGCCGTAGTGGAGGGCTCCGGAAATTTCGACCACCTGGGGTTCTTTAACGTGCACCCAAATCTGAGCATACGGGCCTACAAGATTTCCGCCTCCATCGGAAATGCAGCCACCGCAGCCGGGATTTGAACCCGCGACCTGCGGGTCAGCAGCCGAGTACCTTAGCCACTAGACCACCGCGGCGGGGCGACACATTTCTTGAAACACACTGCATAGTACATACACATTGCAATTATAAGAAACATGTCTAGTATGCACGTTAGCCCATTTTAGCTTCACTAGCTTCCCTGCTTGCACAATAAGAAAGGAGCAAGCACCGAAGAGCATTAAGAGTCTTTTACTTTGTTTGTTTGTAGTTTGACACAGTAAAATTTTATTCCTCGTGCACTTTTAGAAAACAAAACCATATCAACTCACACCAAATTACCGTTTCAGAAATGAAAAGTTGGTCAGTTCAATGTCAATCCATACCTACCAAGTTCAAGGATTCTGTCTCCGAGAGATTCCCGCAATGGAAAGGGGGAGATGGCGCTGATTTATTTTTCCCCCTTCTTTTTTTTTTTTGCACAAAAAAAACATCACTAAAAAAATGGGGATCGGGAGGGGGGGGGGGGGGTCAGTAAATATCGGCATTGTGCCGTCTCATACCGACTCGGTTTGGCTGAACACCTGGGGGTAGGGTTTTCCAATTTCAGTAAAAAGTGCAAGTATCAAAACGGAACAAACATACTACTTGTATCTATCGAAATTTTCGATATCAAAACAACTAGTAAAATCTATTTCTGTCAAAATAACTCGCATATGTCTTCTTGGGACACACGCGAACGGACCGGACAAGGCAGCCGGTTGCGCCGGAAAAGCAGAGATCAAAGCTTCACTTAAGGCTGACTGAAAACTTAACGCCTAAATATAGTTGAAGTCCCAGATCAACCGGAAAAACGTTACTTATTCTTTGGAAAGGAACGCCAAGATGGTTTTAGCATTTTTACATCTTTATCGCCTCTACCGCTGCATTAGCCGCATCCGCAACCGCGATTTCGCGTGCGGGGGTTGCGGAAACCGGTAGTTTAGTTTTGAATTCACGTTCACTGGCTGCGCAAGTACATTCAAAACCATGCTGTTTTTTGCTGTGATCGCATCTGCCGCAATTTTGTTCACCCTGTTTGTGGAACGCAACGTCGCTTCAACTGGTTGAGCATTGAAGGTGCGTGCACTTTCAAAGTTCTGTAACGTTGTCGCCACACATGATCGTGTCAAGAGCAACCCCGGTTTTGTCCACAGCGATTGTGGCAAACGATAACCGCAGTTCTGACAGTGTGTGCGCTGGTCGCACGTGTCCTTCCGAAGCTTCGAGCACGCTGCTCTCGGCCTTCGTTTCACGGTTTCGGCACTAAAGTTCGTAAGACCCACCACAATGAGAAAAAGAGCTTGGAACATCCGAATTTTGGCCCAATGGACATAGTGGAACTTGGCTGAGGAATTTCGCGAATTCGTATATCTGTTGGTTTCGCATCATTGAGATTCTACTGCATGTTTATATGAATGCCTCCTAAATTCATTCCCAATAAGATGCGATGGGTTCACAAAAAACATGGATTGAATTGCGCTGCATTTTTGTCAATGCAGCCAGATCACGCAGCACAGAAATTTCAATATCTGGGAGATTTTCCCGACAACCGTACAAACGTAAGAACTGGTCGAAATATGGGAGACTTGGCAGGTATGCGGATCTACCACATAAGGAAGGCCGCAATGTCGATTGGGAATGCTCAGAAAATTCAAGAATTTTCAAGGATGGTAAAAAATTCCAGGACTTCCAAGGGCCTTGAAAATGCATTTTCAAATACAAGGGTCTTCAAGGACATGTATGCACCCTGAACATAACTTCCCCCAAGTATAAAATTAATAAGTTAATTAACCAGTCTTTATTACAGTCCAATCTCATTAATTCGAACACGCTTAATTCGAACTTCCGGTTAATTCGAACTCACGATGAGGTCCCGTCAAAGCTATGTGTATTTCAATGGGTGAAAACGCCCGGTTTTCGAACGCGCAAGCACTTTCGATGGTTAATTTGAACATGCTGCGCTCCGAAAATGCTCTCAGCACCCCGCCCGATTCCGCGGCGGCACCTCCGACACCTCAACGCTGAGCACGAAGAAAAAAGAAAGAAAAGGCTGCGGTGGAATATTTGCTCTCTCTCAAAAGCTGATTTGCGACGCGCCTGTGCACGCTTCTTCCTTTTCCACCCCTGCCACGTAAAGACTCTTCTCCTTCCAACACCACGTGCAAAGAGAGAGAGAGATAAAAAAAGCTGTCGCGGAGTGTGGTTCTCTTTCATGAGCCGGTGCCACGCTTCTCCTTTCCCGTCCCTTCCACGTAACCCTTCTCCTTGCAAGGACGCGCGCAAAGAGAGCAAGAAAAGAAAAGAAAAACTGCCATCGAGTGTTGGTTTATCTCAAATGCCGATCTGCTTCTCTCCGCGTGAAGACGCTCCTCCTTTCTTGTCACGTGCTGGCCAAGCTGCGGCTTTGATCGCCGCTTCTACGCTGCAGAGCGTAGAAGCGGCGATGGAGTCGTCGTTGTCGTTTTCGTGTGTGGGCTCTGGACATTGTCACGCACAACTGCTCTTGCCAGGGGAATGCTGAAGCCGAAGTAGACATGCTTTGCAAGCTGCGTGTGAAATTGACTCGCTGCAAGGCAAATGTGTGCAGACGCGCATCACCAATTACTTCAATTAATGACGGATGTCCTGTGATTTGTGAATAAATGTAAGTCTTCTGAAACTTCCCCCTTGTGTGTTAGCTCAATGCACGTGTGCCACTGCATGAGGAGCCCTCCGTTTACTTAGCTTTCATTAATTTGAACTTCTTTTAATTCGTATTGTAGTAAACCGTATTGTAGTAAACACCCAGTACAAGTACTTTATAAATCATTACTGTAGTAAGCAGTAAAAATTGATTAGTTTAGAATCATGTCTGATAGGAATGCTTTCAAAATGAACACCATAACATCAACATCTACTGTACCTTCTTCCAGGCAGTCTCGGTGCGTTCAGGTGCAATTTTCATCGCCAGGGTGATGTCAACAACTGGACAAGGCATGTACCTAAGGGTGAAGTTCCTACGGGAAGACAAATTATAGTAGAAATTGACTGGCACTTATTATCATTGTCAATGTGAACAGCTTACGAATTCTAAATAGTAGGCACAAAGATGACGACAAATGAAAAGGGAGACACGCTCACACACAGGGTACCACTTCCAACAATGCCTAGCTATTCACTCTCCCAAGGGTGATACATCACAGCAAAAACCATCCACTAACAATGTTTGCCAAAGTCAATGCTTAAAGCATCGTCGCTGATTGTCTCTTAAATGCGCTTATCTCTACCTCCATTCCATTTTAACAAAAAGATTGTCAATGTGCTGGCTTGGCCAGAGGATATCCTTGAAAAAGTTTTTTTCAGCATCATGGATAATGTGGATAAGATATAAGGATACACTTGATTGGACATGGGCATTCTTAAGGGTGTTCTATTCCAGCAGATGAGGCATTCATGTGTGGCGTAGTGGCTGAACTATTGGGCTTCGGTACTGAAAAAGCAGCAGAATGTTGCAACATTCTGGACGATTTTCTTATGTTCATTTTTGTTTTATCTGGTGTACAAATGTGCTATACCGATGTCTCTCACATGTATTCATGCGCGGATGATGTCATATGATGTCATATATATATATATTTTTTTTCCTGTTGAACATTGTACCCTATCTTGTTACTTGTCCCCCCCTTAAGTAATGCCTTCGGGCCTTTAAGGGCGAAATAAATGAAATGAAATGAAATATCGGAGGTTAGTTTGTCTCCCAACCTGGAACTCATTGTGTAAGCTAAAATGATATTAGCATTTAAAAGTGAGAATACTATTAAACTCATTAAACCATCTTCTATATAGTGCAATGTTTGAAACGAGACAGGGAGGCTTTCAGGCCTATGCATAATACATGCAATTCAAGATCCAACTAAATGGCCTCCATAATACTGGACGAAATGCAATCAAAACGCAGACTAATAGCAAGGTGCAAGTGACAGCTGCTTATAGTAACCATGTCGCGAGAAACGGGAAATGAGACATCGGGTTTTCTTTTCCAGAGTATTGTGCAATATATTTAGAATAAAAGCAAACTTATGCTGTCCTGCCTCCAATATATATCAATATCTGGGGTTTTACATGCTGAAACAATGATATGTGATTATGGGATACACCATAGCAGAGGGCTCCAGAAATTGCGGTGTTCTATGGCGAAAGCTGTTATGAGATCAAAACTCAGGTCACACGCTGCCGTAGTTGTCCGCCGCCGCCACCATGAATGTCCGTAACCACATCTCACGAAATTAGAAAAAAAATTGGGGGACCCTTAAGCTTCACCTTTAAGAGTTGGAACCCGATAGCGAAATCCCTTTCCTAGTGCGCCCTTCAACCGCTAAGTACATACTTACTAATATGTCTTGTTATGTACACACACACACACACACACAACGCACACAGTAGATTGTACCAGCACGAACGCACAAATGGTACATACAGGTTTTTGATCTAAAGCAAGAGTTGCATGGCCTCCAAGCCGCACGCTCGCCATCTCGGAGGCCATAAAGAGTCTCACAATGCCGCACAGATGGCAGCACATTATTCACTGTTTGCTGTTTGCTTGATCAATGCCTCTAGAAAGGCATGACATGTTTTCCGCTATAGGGACATAGTTGTCTATTTTTAAAGCTGTTTGAAAGTTCCTGTGTGCTTTTAGCGGCGATGGCTACACTATCCACGCCTTTTTCGACGTAGTTTGAGGTCTCCCAAATCTGCCTACAAATTTGCCAAATGGGCTCGTTTTCGTCATAACACCTGTCGAACAAAATGCGCTAAAGGGGCCCTGAAACACTTTTTCAAGTAACCGTGGAACGAATTCACTAGAAGAGCTTATTGCCTCACGACTTCAATGCCGCAAAAATTTTAAAAATCCGTCCAGTGCGAATGGAGTTACAAAGGTTTGTCGCATGCTGCAATTGCATTCTCACTTCTCTCATCTCGACGAAATTGCTTGAAGCTAAGCATGGAGGGGTAAAAGAGGCAAAAAAACTACGTCCCCCGCGCCTCGTAACCTTGAGCACTTTTTTCTCTTTTTTTTTTTTCTTCAAATGCACGGCTTTTTCTGTGTGATCACGCACGCATGCGTGGACAAGTAGCAGCCTCTTGCGACGATCTCTGTAACAAGCTTTCTCGCTCACGGACGATTTTTCGCTCACAACCAATGGTGCCGACGCTGACGGTGGAATTTCTGCGACACGAGCTCTCTAACGCTATCACGTTATAACCTAGTACCAATGACACAGTGGGGCTCAAACCCAGGTCCGCTGGGTGTCAGCTCAGTATTCTACCACTGAGCCACACCAGTGCTTGGGACTTCTTGGCAAACTTGCCTTAGGCAGGCTTGATGTCAGGAAAGCAATCGTATTAATACAGCTAATACAGCGAAAGAACAACCAGTCATCGCACATTGCGAATAGTGTGAGTGGGTCATCCAATGCTTCAACCCATTACAAAAGCTTGTTCTTGTTCACCTATTAACTGTGGTGCATACCCACTTAAGGCACGATTCCTCATCGTCGTCAGCCACTGCATGAACAATGGGCACAAAATTCCTTGCAAGTGCTTAGCGGATTCAACGCTTCTCAGAAGAATGACGAAAAATAGCATAGCGAATGCCAGCCTACTACACAAAAATTTTTATTATTAATGCCATAGTGGGTATCAAGCAGGTGTGCTTGCAGCAGTTACCCACTGAGTGTTTATAAAAGGCTCTGAAAGGCCACTCTTCTAGCTTTCACTCTGACTGTGCTGCGCCTTCAGTGCGGGCCTGGTGTTTTTTTTTTTTTTTAATGTGCACTGACATCACACAGTACATGAGAGTTAACTATTTTGCCTCCACCACAACTTCCAATATGAAAATAGTTACACTAACTTTCACAAAGACATTTAAAGCTAGAAAATCATGGCCAACATGTACATCGCAAATTGGTGTGAAGTTTTAAATATATATATATTGTGAGCGCTGATTGTGTTGCTTATCATTTTCACTTTCACCTGCGCATACAAAGCACCGTGATCATCATCATCGTAGCGGCTCGCTGCTTGTTCGGTTGCTGGCTCGCGCGTCTGGGTGGACAATAAAACGGTCGCTCCTTCGTACCTGACGTCGTCTCACAAGTGGTGGAGCGTGCTGTGATTCCCAAGTCCTCGTGCACTACCGGTCACCCCTGGAGCTCCGATCAGGTCGACGGCTGTGCTTGCCAACAGTGATGGCGCAAAACGACCCACCCCCTACCGCCTTCTTCGCACCACCCGCTCAGCCTGCTGGGCCTCACCACACCGTGAGTACCTCGCAACGAGACCCTCCAGTGTTTTCTGGCCTTCGCGGTGAGGACGTAGAAGAATGGCTGGACAGTTACGACCGTACCAGTGCTTGCAATTACTGGGATGAGGCACATAAGCTGCGCTATGTACCCTTTTATCTGAAGGAGGTTGCTAAGACGTGGTATCATAACCACGAACGCGACTTTCCTGATTGGTCAGCATTCACGGTGCAGCTGCGTCAAATATTCGGCACTTCTACAGGACGCTCTGAGGTAGCTAAACAGAAGCTCGCTACCCGCATCCAGGGGCCTGACGAATCGTACACATCGTACATTGAAGACGTTCTGGCCCTCTGCCGCCGCGCCCAAAAGGACATGCCGGAGGCCGATCGTATTCGGCAAGTAATGAAAGGCATCAACTCCGTCGCCTTTAATGCTCTTGTCATGCAGAGCCCGACAACAGTTCAGGACATTATTACCACCTGCCAGCGCCTGGACGCACTTTACTCAATGCGCCTTCCACACGCCTCCTATGACACTCGTCTTACTGGCGAGCATGAGCTGCGAGCTCTAATTCGCACCATAGTGAGAGAGGAACTTCACAGCCTTGTTCCTGCCAGCGCACCGACTTCACCTGCCCGCTCACCCCCTCCTAACCTGCGGGAAATTATAAAGGACGAATTGGCGTCGATGACGAGCGTCGCACGTGCCCCGCCGCCTGTGCCCTCACATGTGCCTACGTATGCCGAAGTCGTGTCACGGCCTCCTCCACCTACTCCACCTGTAACTACGGACGTCGTATACGACCATTTGGCTGCGATGGCAGCCAAGGCACCACCACAACCACACTTCCCTGCCTGGCGCCCTACGCGCCCCGTCTGTTACTACTGTGGCATAAGAGGACATATCTCCCGCTTTTGCCGTCGGCGCCAGCAAGATGAACGACGAGGTTATTCTTCGTACGAGAGTGACCGGGCTGCGCGGTCTGACCCCTACGTTCCAGGAACCTACATTCCCTCGTCACGACGTTCGCCTTCGCCTCCTTTGTCCCACGGTGAACCTCGTTCTTCCCGCTCACCCCGCCGTCGTTCACCATCGCCCTTCCGCCGTACTACTTCGCCTTTACGTTCTGCCCTGATGCCCCTCGACAGCCACTCGGAAAACTAGCAGCTGCAGTTTTTGGAGGAGAAACTGCCTGTCGTCGAATTGTCCCAATTCCTCCTGCGCGCCCTGCAAATTTACTAACTGTTTGTGTAGAAGGCATTTCGGTTGACGCACTCGTGGACACTGGAGCAGCCATTTCGGTCATTGATCGCGAACTATGTCATCGTCTACGAAAAGTGCAAACTCCATATGTTGGTCCGGTGTTATGTGGTGCTAATGAAAATAGAATTTACCCTATTGGACAATGCACTGTTCGTGTTCTGATCGACGGAATTCGTCACCATATACAATTGGCTGTGCTTTCTTCATGTGCTCATCCGATTATATTGGGCTGGGACTTCCTGTCAGCCGCTTCCGCTGTCATTTCGTGTGGTCCGCCCGTTATTCGCATTACGGACACTGAAAATTCTAGTGCTTACGATTTTTCGTCGCCTCACCTTGTTGCAGCTGCAGACTTTGTACTGCCCCCGGCCCAAGAACGTATCCTCACCATTAGATCCAGCGATACCATTGACGGTGACGCAGTGGTTGTCCCCGATCAGCGCTGCATT